AGCCCAGGTTACTATACCCAGCAAAGTGAAAGAAAAAACCTCACATGATCATCTCCTTAGACGCAGAAAAAGCATTTGGTAAAACCCAACACCCATTCATGTTTAAAGTCTTGGAGAGATCAGGGATACAAGGCACATACCTAAATATAGTAAAGGCAATATACAGCAAGCCTATAGCCAACATCAAACTAAATGGAGAGAAACTTAAATCAATCCCACTGAAACCAGGGACAAGGTAAGACTACCCACTCTCTCCATATCTCTTCAACATATTACTTGAAGTACTTGCTAGAGCAATAAGACAATTAAAGAAGATCAAGGGGATTTGAATAGGAAAAAAGAAATTAAAGTATCATGATTTGCAGATGATATGATAGTATACATGAGTGGCCCAAAAAATTCTATCAGGAAACTTCTACAGCTGACAAACAGCTTCAGCGAAGTGGCTGGATACATAATTAATGCAAAAAAAAAATCAGTAGCTCTCCTGTACACAAAAGACAAATGGGCTGAGAAGAATTTAAGGAAACAATACCTTTCACAATAGTCACAAAAGAAAAACCTAAAGTATCTTGGTGTAACTAACCAAGCAAGTGAAAGATTTGGATGAAAAAAAAAAACCTTCAAGTCTCTGAGGAAAGAATTAGAAGAAGATATCAGAAGATGGAAAGATCTTCCATGCTCACTGCTTGGTAGGATAAACAATGGCCATCTTACCAAAAGCAATCTACATATTCATTGCAATTCCTATCAAATTACCAACACAATTCTTTACAGGCCTTGAATGAAAAATTCTCAACTTCATATGGAAAAACAGAAAAGCTAAAACAATCCTTTACAATAAAAGATCTCCTGAAGATCCCTGATCTCAAGCTCTATTATAGAACAACAGGAATAAAAAACTGCATGGTACTGGCATAGAAACAGACTGGTAGATGAATGGAATTGAATTGAAGATCCATAAATAAACCCACACGCCTACGGACACCTGATTTTTGACAAAGATGCCAAAACCATACAATGGAAAAAAGATAGCATCTTCAACAGATGGTGCTGGTCTAACTGGATGTCCACAGGTCGAAAAATGCACATAGATCCATATGTATCACCCTGCACAAAACTAAAGTCCAAGTGAATCAAAGACCTTAACATAAAACCAGATACAATAAATCTCTTGGAAGAAAAATTGGGGAAAAGCCTCAAACTCATTGTCACAGAAGACAACTTCCTGAATAGAATAACAACAGCTCAGGCTCTAATAGCTTCAATTAATAAATGGGACCTCATGAAACTGAAAAGCTTCTGTAAAGAAAAGGACACTGCCTACAGACTAGGAAAATATCTTCATCAATTCTACATACTATTGAGGGTAAATATCCAGAATATATAAAGAACTCAGGAAATGAGATACCAACAAACTAAAACTCTAATTAAAAATGAGGTACAAATCTAAGCAGAGTATTCTCAACAGAGGATATTGAATGGCAGAGAAACACTTAAAGAAATGCTCAATATCTTTAGTCATCAGGAAAATGCAAATCAAAATAATTCTGAGATCAAAAACTCAAATGACAACACCTGTTGGAGAGGATGTGGAGAAAGGGGAACCCTCCTCCATTGCTGGTAGAAATGTAAACTTGTACAACCACTTTGGAAATCAATCTGGCGCTTTCTCAAAAAATTGGGATTAGCACCACCTCATGATCCAGCTGGACCACTCCTGGGCATATAACCAAAAGATGCCCCATCATTCAACAAGGATATTTGCTCAACTATGTTCATATCAGTTTTATTAATAATAGCCAGAATTTGGAAACAACCTAGATGTCTTTCAAGTGAAGAACAGATACAAATATTGTGGTCCATTTACACAAATGAATACTACTCAGCTATTAAAAACAAGGAAATCATGAAATTTGCAGGCAAATGCATGGCACTAGAAAAATTATCCTGAGTGAGGTAACTCAGAAACAGAAAGACAGGTATACACTCACTTATAAGCGGATACTAGCTGTATAATATAGAATAGCCACACTAAAATCTACAGACCTAAAGAAGCTAAACACTAAGGAGAACCCTAGAGAGGATGCTTAAATCTCATTCAGAATGGCAAGATAGACACCAGAAGTGGTGGAACAGAGCAAGTAAGAGGTTACTCTGAAAGCTCCACCCAGCCGGAGATTGAAGCAGATGCTGAGACTCACAGCCAAACTTTGGGCAAGGCACAGGGAATCTTATGGAAGAACAGGGGGTGGGCATAGAAGGACATGGAGGGAACAGGAGCTCCACAAGGAGATAATCAAAGCTAAAAAATCCGAGCCCAGGTTGTTCTGCAGAGTCTGATGCATCTAACCTAAGACCATGCATTGAGTGGACCTAGACCTAGAGGATGTAGCTGATTGTCAGCTCAGTCTCCATGTGGAAACACGCGCAAAGTGAGCATGGGCTGCCTCTGTCATGAACTCTGTTGCCTGCTCTCTGATCACTCACCTCTGGTGATGTGGCCTTACCAGGCCACAGAGGAAGAGGATCCAAGCAGTCTTGATGAGACTTAACAAGCTGTGGACAGATGGCAATGGTGGAGAACTCCCTCTTTTAGTGGACTAGGGGAAGGTGATGAGAAGAAGAGGGAAGGAGGGTGGGACTGGGGAGTTGAGGGAGGGGGCTTCAATTGGGATATATAATGAACAAATGGTGAAAAAAATTAAAACACACATATAATGGATATAACTTAAGGCACAGAATAAAAAGTTTTCATTGACATGAAAAAATAAAAATAGTTTCAAATAATAAAAAAACAATAAAGTTGTAGAATAAAATGTCGTATGTAGGAGCTATTGAAGAAGTTTTAAAGCCTAATGAAAACCTAATGGGTAAAAATAAAATGGAAGTGAGTCTAGGAAGAGGTGAGGATGGGGAAAGTGGATCCTCTAACCTGTTAGAGGAAGACACTCTGGTAAGGTACTACACAGAGTTAGGTGGGGGTTAACTTGGTGGAAGTTGTTGTTCAACATTCTGACTATATTAAATTCCAAAAGGAAAATGTTGAAATATTCTGTATAAAGAAATGCTATTTAAGGAGATATATTTGAACTGGTTTAAACAATACAAGATGTATGCATATATGGGCATATCAGATGGTACACCATAAATGTATAATAAATTAATAAAATAAGATCAGAATAAAAATAAAAGGATAAGTGATAATATAGATGACTCAAATGAATAGATGAAATAAGAAGCTCAATTATGGGCCTAGATGAGAATGTTAACAGTATAGATGAAATGGATAAAACTTTAGAGTAAACATTCAATAATACAGAGCTACCATTAAAAAAGAAATTGAGTCTGGAATAGAACCAACTAGAAATACTGGAAGAAAGAGTCAGTTAATGAGATAAAACATGAATTTGGGGGAAAAGGTGGGACAAGTTGAGACAATATTAAATCCATTCATATATATATATATATTATATATAATATGTGTATCTCTTTCTATATATGTATCTACAAACATGCACACACATGCATGCACAGGTCTGTAACTTCTGTACGGGTTGGGAGTGGTGGTAAAAGTATCAGATCCTGTTAGCTTGCTGGCCTGCCAGCCAATGAACACACATGCATACAAAACACACATACATACATGTGTATGTGTATACATACATACATACATACGAGAGACAGGCACACATAGATAGATAAATAGAGAGAGAGATAGATAAAGAGATAGAGAGAATGAGATAAGCATGGCCCATTTCAAGAACTCATTTTTTTTTGTTTTGTTTTGTTTTGCTTTGCTTTGAGACAGGGCTTCTCTGTGTAGCCTTGGCTGTCCTGGACTCTCTTTATAGCCCAGGCTAGCCTCAAACTCACAGTGATCTACCTGTCTCTGCCTCCGTGAGTGCTAGGATTCAAGAACTCTTAACTATATTCAAGAGACAAACTCCCAAGAATCCATAGTATAAAAAGAGGATTACAGAGAACCTAACAGCATAGACAATGTATTCAGACTATAGTCGAAGTTTTCTTAACCCCATGAAAGAAATGTCTAAGTCCAAATACAAGAGACAATTATACCATAGTAAACAGGTTAATTATACATGGATGGCTTAGCTTTTGAAAACTAGCCTCATTCCACACAACAGACACAAACTTTCAGGTCATACATGTTAATGGACAAACAAAATGTGTATGGATATCCAGTGGAATATTATTTGGTCATAGGAAGAAACAAAATACTGAGGTAAAATGTGGGTAGCTCTCCAAAGCATAGTTTGAATAAAAGAAGCCAGTCATCAACTGTCATATTCTGTATGATTTCAGTGATGGGGAATAACCACAACTGTCAAATATGCAACAAGAGAAAGGTTTGTGGATGTCAAGAGCTGGAGGAAAAAACTTGGGTGATTAGTGGGAACAGAACTTTCTATGATGATAAAATTGTTTTGGAACTTGGTGAAAGTTGTTGTTCAACATTCTGACCATATTAAATTCCATTAATTAAACTCAATGTACTTAAGTGAACTTTAGCTCCAAAGTTTTAAGATGTATATTTTATTTTCTCCAAAAATTTTAAAACATATGAAGAAAAGCTTTAGGTATCAGGAAAGTTTGGTTAACTTGCCTCAAACTAGAAGAATTTGATTTGAGCAATTTCAGAGGAATTTAATTAAGGCTAGAAAATCCACACTGAGCAGCATCATAGGCACTGGCATCTCTCAGTGATTAAAATGTTAAAACAGGTGTACGTCTACTAATCAGAAGAACATATTTCTTTGTGTCATGATTTCAGACAATGTAACCAGATACCCCCAAATCTTCCCCTGGGTCACAACCCCCACCACATGAAAATTAATTATTCATTAATGTACTTTGCCTCTTTCCACTCATCACAGAAAAACAAGACATCAATGAAGACAAGAAAACAGACATTTATTATTAGACTGTTACATAAAGATAAAGGAAGAAAGAAGAAATATATTTAGAGAGAAATCTGATGGATCTGTAACTTCTGTCTTCAAAAACACACAAGGTTACCTAAAAGCTGAGGTGGAAAAACATGTTAGAATGAATGTCTCAGTGTCCTCTACTGTCCCAAGATCAATATTACACACATATTCCCTAAAAAATTGTCTTTTTTTTTGCTAAGAAGAGTGCACATGTTACTGATTGTTAAAAATTGAACATACATTGTATAACAACATAAGTTTTACAGTCCATAGGTTGAAAGACATTTAATTCATTGATAACTATTAACATTCAGGAATTTTTTTTAGTCAAAAGTCTTATATACAGATGGTGGATAATCTCCAACTACTTAAAATTTGATATGCATGCACACAAGAAAGTGGGGGAAATTGATGCATTCACAGGAGAAATATGTTTTAAATGACAATCAAGTCATGGTGATAAAGGGGAAGTCAGACTCAGTTATATTTTAAAAACCTTAAAATTGTGTACCTGTGTAGATATCTGGGTGGAAATAAGCTGCTACACAATGACTTATTAGTTTGTCTCTCTCCCCATGGAAAGACTTCCAGGGGAGCAGAACATAAAGAGTGCTGATGTTTACTCTCCCTTGTCATGTCAGAGTTTCAGTAAACATTTATCTCGTATTTATTTTGTGAATCAAAACAAGTTTTAAAACTGAACATCAAACTATGCATTATGAAATGGCCAATTAGTATTCATTGCTGTGTTACTGGATTTGGAATCATCTAGGAGACACGTTTTTTTTTTTAATTTTTTATTAATTACACTTTATTCATTTTGTATCCCCCCATAAGCCCCTCCCTCCTCCCCTCCCGATCCCACCCTCCTTCCCCTTTCTGCATGCATGCCACTCTCCAAGTCCACTGATAGGGGAGGTTCTAGGAGACACATTTTTAAGCATGTCAGGAAAGGTTTAACCGAAGAGTGAAAACTCACTTGAATGTGGGCAAAATAGGTCTTGGACTGAGGACTCAGACAATATGACAGGGAAAAAGAAAGAATCTTGGAATGTCTTTTTTATTGTTAGCTTCAGACACAATGTGGTCAGCTGTCCCATGCTCTCACTATCACACCTTCCACACCATGATGGACTGTATCCCCACAGCCAAATGTGGAACAAAGTAAACCCTTCCCTCCCTCATTGGGTTTCTTTCCTTGGGTGTTTTGTCACAATAACAAAAGGACCACATGTGATTATAATCATTAGACAGTATGGATAAGAACACCAGTATGTTAGATTTGCCAATGATCCAGTACACTTGTTTTGCCTGTGGCTGCTTTTATACTACAAAACCAGAGCTGAATATTTGTGACCAGCACCACATAGCTTGATAAGCCTGATGTACTTAACAGGAGACCCTTCACAAGAAGGGTCTGCTTTCCCCTGACTAAGTCATAGCCAGAGGATCTAGGTCTCAGGCTCCTCATCTATCAACTTAATACTTTTCTTTTCTTTTGTAGCTCAGTAGGACATTGATTCACCTTCTCCCATCATCTTACTTGTAAGGAGAACATTGCTTCCATTTTCTATCTTTGTTGTAATTGTCAGTCAATGAACACCAACTCCGATTCAAAATGTAGCCTTCCTTGGTGCATTCATTAATGGACTTTTTTCTGAATTGGAAAGGGAAGATGCACATTGGAGGATCTGCAGAAAAAGATGAGTAAAGGTTGAACTATGAGCATTGTCCTCAGATTAATCTCTGCTGAGAAAACAATTATTTTTTTCTACCAGTTTGTGTCCTAGTTCTGCAAATTATGCAGAAAAGACAATATCTGAACTCAATTCTTTCTAAAATCCAAACCTATTTATCCTTGGCTCCTGGCACCTGATATATAACCTTGTTGGACTCTTACCCAGTGCTGTGCAGTAACGCCACCTTCCTTTGAAGTGAAAGTCAAGGGAGCACCAATCAAAGTCACTGCGGATGGAGATACAATTGTAGTGTAGTTTATCACCATAGATGAATGGAAAGACACAGTTAGCAATAGAAATCTCTGGAAAACAGAACAATTTCAGAATACAAAATAAGATCACATTGGAAATTGATTGTTTTGTTTTTGAGGTTATTCTCACTCTGTAGCCCAGTTAGACTTCAAACTCACCCCTTAGCCAAATCTTACTAGTAGCTCATGTTAGTCCTTCTGTCTTGCATTCTAAGTGCTGAGATTGCAAGCTTGAGCTACCATGTATGGCTGGGACTTGGCTTTGGAATGTCTATTTTGGTAGCAGCATAACAGTTGATCTCTTATCCCCCCTACAGACACCTGAAGCTGGTATCACTTGCTGCCCTTCATGCTGTGACACAAAACATCAGCAAAATTTCCAAGGAAGTCTCATTTTGGCCCAGAGCTGGGTTCACATTGGAAATGCTTGCTTCCTCAATGAAAAGTTCTTTAGTAATGAGGGATCTCATTTGTCAGAGTTCACACTCTAATTAGAGTCTTTCTCATCATCTATGTTGACTAGTTTTTGTCAATTTGACACAAACTAGAGTCACCTGGGAAGAGAAGCCTCAATAAAGGAATTGTTTCTGTCATATTGGTCTGTGGGCATATCTGTAGGGCATTTTCTTGCCTAATGATTGATATAGAAAGGCCTATCTCTCTGTGAGTGATGTTATCTCTGGGAAGGTAGTCCTATTTTGTATAAGAAAGTGAGATTAACAAGGGAGAGCAAGATAGTTAGCAGAATTCTCCATGTTTCCTTCCTCTGTCCCTGCTTGAATTCTTTCCCCCATTTCCCTTAGTGATGGACTATGGTTGTTAAGTGTTAACCAAATGATCTCTTCCCTTCTCAAGCTGATTTTATTACAGCAATCAAAAGTAAGTAGAATAGAAACTGGTATCAGCAGTGGTGTGTCACTTAAAATAACCCTGACTATATGAGTTTACTGTTGTCCTTTGGACTGGAAGAAAAATTCCTAATCATTGACACCTCTGCTCTTGCTTAAGTTTCTTCCATAACTTCCTTCAATTATAGACTATGGTTGATAAGTGTAAGTCAAATAAACCCCCTTTTGCTCCAAGTTGGTTTATGTCAGTGTTTTTATCACTCTAAGATGGAACTAAACCCAAGCCACTTTGAATAAAACTTCCATTTTGAATAAGGGCAGAACAAAGTTTAAGTTCCCATGACGTCCCTGGATGAGCAACATCCTGGTTAGCAAGTTGAGACATAAATGTTGGGCAAGACACCCTGCCACAGTTGAGCAAACCAACCAATGATGCCAGGATATGTGTACCACAAAGAAATGTTCCTAGAAAGATGCACATTTTTGAATCCTGGTTGGTGGAAAATGTAACTGTAACTTGGCACAAATGATTATGGATTTTATGGTTTTTGTGCTTAAAAGCTCTATAGCATTCAGTCTGTTTTCTGTCCCTGATGGATCAATAGTGGCTTGACTGACCTTAGGGATCAAGTAGAAACTACTTTATTCATATCACCCCCCAAAGTTCAGGACGGTAGAAAGAATGAATTGGACCTTAAAGGACCTTCACTAAATTAACCATAGAAACTGGAGAGTACTGGATGGCTTTCCTCCCTTTTGCCCTTTTGAAGGCCAGAAACCCTCCCTATAAAAATATAGGGTCTGACACCATATGAGATCATATATGGGAGATCTTTCCCTATACACCTAAAGTTCAAATTCGAACTAATTGCTGAAATATCTAATCTTGATTTACAGGCATTAAAGAGGACTCAAAATGGCCTTTACTCCTTGATCTGGCACCTACACATCCTGCTTGCAGTTGTCCCCTATAATTATAAGTCAGAAGACTTATTCTGGGTGAGACAACACCAGAAAAAGACTTTGAGCCCCTACTGGAAAGGACCCCACTAGAAAGGACCCCTTCTACCACGGTTAAAGTTGATGGCATTTGTTCCTGGATTCATCACACACATCTGAAACTGGTTCCTGACAGGAGTCAGAATGTGGATAACAGAGAAAAATGGACCATTCAGAGAGATCCTAAAAACAAACAAACAAACAAACAAACAAACAAAAAAAAAACACTAAAGCTAAGACTGGTCAAAAACTGGCCCCTTTCTCTCTGCTCTTTCTGATATACTTGTCCTCCACAAAGGCAGCCTCAAATTACATAAATTACATTGCTCCTAATTCTATTACTGGACCCTTATAAAGACCCAAAACAGAACTCATTGCTAATGCTAGCCATTGCATCTGCCTGGGAGCCTCATTCTTTAGGTTTGACATTTGCTCATTATGGCCTAGACTAGGAAGCTATAAAACAAGCCTCAATGTTTCACTATCCAGGGCCTTAGGATGCAAGAATACTGGGACTGGTTGTGGGAATTTGGAATTCGAGAAATATCTATGAGGAACTGCATATTATCCTTGCCCTGCTGAGCCTGATCCCACTTGTGAAAAAGGGGACAGATATCATTGTCACCACTGAGGATGTGTGACATGGGCTCCAGGGGTGGAGAATATACAGACCTAATTCATACAAATCCAGATCATCAACATCTACTGTAGAGTACCAATCCGGTCACAATAACGTTAAAAACAGGGTCTTTTCTGAGACTGACATGCAACCAAGGACCATGTATGAATATAACCTAGAACCTCTGCTCAGATGTAGCCTGTGGTAGCTCAGTAACCAATTGGTTTCCCATAGTGAGGGGAACAAGGACTATTTCTAACAGGAACTCAATGACTGGCTCTTTGGCCTCCCCACCCCCCAAGGGAGGAGCAGTCCTGTTAGGCCACAGAGGAGAGCTTTGCAGCCAGTCCTGAAGATACCTGATAAAACAGGATCAGATGAATGGGGAGGAGGTCCCCCCTATCAGTGGACTTGGAAAGGGGCACGGTGGAGATAAGGGAGGGAGGGAGGGAGGGACTGGGAGGGAATGAGGGATCGGGACACGGCTGGGATACAGAGTTAATAAAATGTAACTGATGAGAAAAAAATAAAATCAAAAATAAAGAAAAATAAGGAAATCATGAAATTTGCAGGTAAGTGGTGGGACCTGGAAAGGATCATCCTGAGTGAGTTGTCCCAGAAGCAAAAAGACACACATGGTATATACTCACTCATATAAACATACAACATAGAATAAACCCACTAAAATCTGTACATCTAAACAAACTAAGCAAAATAGAGGACCCTAACTAAAATGTTCAATCCCCATCCTGAAAGGCAAAGAGGATGGACATCAGAAGAAAAAGAAAAATAGGAAACAACCTTGGAACCTGCTACAGAGGGCCACTGAAAGCCAGAAGAAAACAGGGAACAACCTTGAAACCTGCCACAGAGAGCCGCTGAAAGCCTCTGCAGTATAGACTGTCAAAGCAGATGCTGAGCCTGATGGCCAACTGATGGGCAGACTGAATGGAATTTTATGTAAGAAGTGGGAAATAGTAAGAGCTGGAGGGGATGGGAACTCCACAAGCAGAGCAACAGAACAAGATAATTTGAACACAGGGAACTTCCCAGAGACTCATACTCCAACCAAGGACTATTCGTGGAGATAACCTAGAACTCCTGCACAGATGTAGCCCATGGCAGTTCAGTGTCCAAGTGGGTTACATAGTAATGGGAAGAGGGACTGCCTCTGACATAATCTGATTGGCCTGCTCTTTGATCACCTCCCCCTGAGGGTGGAGCAGCCTTACCAGGCCATGGTAGAGGACAATGCAGCCAATTTTGATGAGAACTGATAGACTAAGATCAGAAAGGAGAGGAGAACCTCCCCTATCAGTGGACTTGGGGAGTGGCATGCATGCAGAAAGGG